GCGTCCTGGATCCATTATTGGTGGTCCCGGGCCTGATAAATGGGCTCCAGAAGCCACAAGCTAGGAGAAGCGCCAGGGTTGAACAAGTCATATCGTCGGAGATCTGGGCCTGACTGGAAGGGCACAAAGATACCGACGCCGCTGCTAGGGTGCATGCTGACCAGGACTTCGATGCGAATCCAAAGGTGGCGGCGAGGGACTCCCAGGAGGCCCACAAGGGCGCAAACGACAGAAGCATCCTCCTGTGGTTTGCCGCGCTGCTGTGGTCTGCCGTGCGCTGTGGTTTGCTGAAGTGGCGACGAGGCCTCCAAGGCGGCCCCAAAAGGCGACAACTAGGCAAGGGTAACGGCATCGGTACCCCTGCCTCCCTCCTCTGACCGACTGCGACAGCGGCGGGGGCGAAGGCACATCCTGAGGACGCTGGCTTCCTGGAGCTCGTGGCCAAGGGACCGCCGCTGCCGCCCCAGAGCCCGCAGCTCCCCGTCGTCGAGGGACTGCCGCAGCCTCCTGTCGGCGGCGCGCCCGAGCCGAGGCCCCCACTCGCGTCGTGAGCAATTCACGGCGGATGTCCTGCTCCCTCGGCACTTGCCATCGTTCGGACATCCACTCCGTTTCACGTTTGCGCGCTGGTTTTTTCGCAAGATGATCCACGATGCTTCTCGAGGGTCCTCGTCGAAAAAAGAATGCACACGTCCGAGCGATGCCAAGAGTAAAGGAAGGGGAACCACACCCCCAAGAAGCACCCCGACAGGCGAAGCCTTTCAGTAAACGCGCCCAGGGGAGGTCCGTCATGCAGCCAGGCCTTGATGTCACACGCAAAAGACACGTGCGACAAGGACACCAAACGTGTCAACCCGACACGCCAACAGCGTGCCGCGGCGATGTGTGCCCGAAGCTGTCTGGACCGGGGGAGGTCGAACATCTGCCCATGCGCGCCCTGCCCGCCACGCGGCCCCCGAGGTGGACGGCCCGGAAGCGCATCCGCACCAAGGGGGCGGAAGAAGAAACGACCCCCAGGGGCCAGTGGACGAACCCGGGGCCAGGGGAGGTAGGAAAGCGAGCGACGAGGAGCGACGGCGCCGACAGGGGGGAGAGAGGAGGGCGAAGCCCGGGCGACAGCCCGAGGGACGAGCAGGAGGGAAAGCAGGCATAGGAGCGACGCAAGACTGCAGAAGGAGGGACAACGACACCGCCCGGAAGGCAGGCGGGCGGGAGAGCAGCGCCGGCATTCAGGTTTCTAATATAATCCCCCTAAAAAACATGATAAACATCCCACCTGTAGAGACTCCTCTGCCAGGCAAAATGCCAGAACAAGGAAAAAAGGAGGAGGGAGGAGAGGAAGGAGGAAAGGACTAGGTCTCCTCGTGGCCCGCGGTCAACCTTAGTCTGGACGCTGACGCCCGCGAGGCACGAGCCCCGCCGACCTTGGCCCTCCAGCGCGCTGTGCGCGCGGCGCTCCCTCTCGCCGCGATGACGGCGATGCGATGAAGCATATCCCGTCGCATTGTGGCCGGCTCCCGGCCCTCTCTGCTCGCCACCGCCGCCGCCAGCGCACTGGCCGCGGCGTCCGCGCCCTTCGACATGCCGCCTTGGGCTCCGAACGCGACCGGCCTAAACTAGAGGCCACGCTCGCGGCATCGTTCCTCCGTCCAACTGCGCTGCCGCTTCTGCTCGTCGTACGCCTCGGCCGCGACGCCTGGCGCCATGGCCGCGTCCGCCCAGCGCGACGGCCAACGGGCGCTGATCAAGGCGAAATCGAAGCAGACCTTGTCAGCCCTCACCGCGCGGTAGCCGTCAGGCAGAGACCGTGCGGAGGTGATGCGGGGGCCACCAGCACGTCTGCAGGGCGGTGCTCGTCTGATGCCTGTCGTGTTTCGCGCGCCCCGGGGTCATCCAGCAGCCCCGCCGCCTCCAGCGCGGGGCGCAGCCCACCGCGAGCAGAAGAGTCATAGAAGACGTCTCTGATCGAGGTATGTACCAGCGCGGCGTCCCCTCCGCCCATGCACGACAGGCAGCGCGTGCCCTTCGCGTCCAGCGGGGCCGCGCGAAGCGGGCACGCGCTGCCCTTATCCAACACATCGACACCGAGCGAGGTCACGACTTTGTCTGCGCACTCGCCAGCGGGAAAATTCACGTCAAGTGTCCTGAATGGGGTGAGGTCGTACCGAATCTCCGCTCCCTGTGCTGAGCGCGCGCTCGATCGAACCCCGTCGGCTGGCTGGCTCTCCTCGCGCCATGCCTCGACCGCTTCGCTCCGCATCTTACCTCCCAGGTAAGCTTGGGCCAACTCCGCCTGGGTCGGCACCCCGAGGGCGTCGCAACCCAAGGTGGCTGCAAACCTGGCCGCGGCGCCCGCCAGAGGCCGTCGTCCCACCAGTGCCCAGGCCGGATGCGCTCGCTCAGGTCGTGGGTGGCCGCCCGCGACGCCACGCACGCGGCGTCCATCTCCATCGATATGCGCCTCAGCCCAAGCCCGGCCGCGGAGGTGGCGAAAGCGGCCTGTTTCCTCTGCAACTCTGCCCACCGCTGGCCCACCGCCGCAGAGGCCGGGTCCACCACCTCCTCGTCGTAACGGGCGGCGGCGTCCCGCAGTACCACAGCCGAGGTGGTGCGAGCCAGGTAGGTCATCATGCCAGCGTTGACGCATCGCTTCCGCAGGTAGCGCGTGACCTTGGGGTGTCCAAGCTCCGCCAGGAACGAAGGGTACCCCCCTGCTTCCTGGCCTGGTGCGCGCAAAGGCTTTGCAGTACAGTCGGGGCGTTGACCTAAGGAACCCTAAATAAGGAACGAGGCCCCTTTTCTTCACAAGTTAAACTTCGATTTCGTACCGAGAACATAAGGGAAACCTGAGGCAAGCTGTGAAACATTTACGGAACACGGAGCCCCTCCCCAACGAAAAGGGTTCCTTCTTCAGGGCCCCGACTGTATTCCTTCTCTCCGATGGGGGATTCCGGCACCTCGCACTTTCCGTCCTGAAAGAGCACGCTCCCCAGCTCCACGAACGGCGCGGCGTCGGCCGTGCTCCGAACCCGAGCGGCGGGGACCACTTGCAGCGTCGAGAAGCGAAGGCCGGCTGCGGGCATCGCCGCCTTCGGGTGCGCGTCTGCCCGCGGCACCTCCTGGGACGGGCCTGCGGCGAGGGCGCCGTCAGCGCAACCGGGGGCCATGGACCAAACGCGCGGGCTCGAGGGCGGGCGGTTGGACTGCTGTGCTCGTCGAAACCGGCACGAGCCCCAGAGACGCGAACAGCCTCGACTCAGATCTGGGCGTTGCAACAGGAATCCGCCGACCCTGTCGGCGCGCGTGAGGGGCTCATCCGTTCGAGTCGGACTTTTCCGTTGGCGTCCTCCTCACTCCTCTGTTCAATTTGCCTGGGACCTCTTCCTCATACGTGCCGTCCACAGCAAAATTGAACAACACAGGAGTGGAATCGAAGGGAGCCCTTTCCCTTTGTTCCAGTTCCCGCGCGGGGGGTCGCTCCCCCGGCGCGATTCCGAAACCGTCGCGCGGTCCCCGCGCGGTCCCGGAACCCCCGCGCGGTCCAGGAAGCCCAAATGAAGTCCCCAGGAATTCTCCACGAGACCTCCAAGAAGCCCCCAGACTCTCAAAACTCTTTCACAGCGCGCCCAAGACGGGAGGCCCAACGAGCCCTCGGCGACAGAACTCATTGATTCCCCGTCGGTTCTTGCAAGATCTGGGCGCTCTCGCCTTTTCCGCCTCCCGCCGCTCCAAGACGACCGAAGAGGCCCCCAAGATCGCCCCAAGACGGCCCAAAAGGCTTACAAAAAGGTTCATGCATTTCCTCATCCCTGAACTTTTCTTTCGAACCAGCGCGACGAGGAGGAGGAGGAGGAGGAGGAGGAGGAGGAGGAGGAGGAGGAGGAGGAGGAGGAGGGGGAGGAGAAGGAGGAGGAGGACGAGGAGGAGAAGGAGGACGAGGACGAGGACGAGGAGGAGGGGGAGGAGGGGGAGGGAACACCGATCAAGCTCCCGGCGGCCCAGCCTGGCATCGACCCCCGTGGTCCCCCCGCCCAGGGACCCTCCCGAACTGCCTCCGGAGGCCCCCGCGGAGAGCCTCCGGAGGCCCGAAGCGGGCCAAGAGCTCCCAAAGCCTCGACCTTCGGACCTCGACGACGACGACGACGACGACGACGACGACGACGACGACGACGACGACGGCGACAGAAACCACGGCGACGGCGACGGCGACGGCGGCGCCGACGACGACGGCGACGGCGGCGGCGACGGCCACGGCGACGGCGGCGGCGACGGCCACGGCGACGGCGACGGCGACGGCCACGGCCACGGCGACGGCGACGGCGACGGCCACGGCGACGGCGACGGCGACGGCGGCGACGGCGACGGCAACGGCGACGGCGACGGCGACGGCGGTAACGACGGCCACGGCGACGGCGACGGCGACGGAGACGGCGACGGAGACGGCGACGACGACGCCGGTGACGACGACGACCAATTCCGCGACGAAGACTTCCTCAACGACGACGCCGACGACAACAACGACGACGATGACGACGATGGCGGCGGCGGTGGCGGCGGCAGCGACGGCCGCGAGCCCGCAATCGCGTCCTTCGCTTCCGCCTTCGCCTCCGCCTCTGCCTCCTCCTCCTCCTCCTCCTCCTCCTCCTCTTCCTCCTCCTCTTTCTCCCCTTGCCTCCCCCTCCTCCTCCTCCTCCTCCTCCTCCTCCTCCTCCTCCTCCTCCTCCTCCTCCTCCTCCTCCTCACCCCTCCTCCCCCCGCCCTTCCCCCTCCCCTTCCTTTGGACTCCTCCCGCCCATTCCTCCTCCTCTTCCTCGTGCCGCCGCAGCGCTCTGCAACCGCGGCGCGCAACGAGCCGCGCGCGACGCGGGTCCCCCAGGTAGCCACTGGAGGGACGTTTCCGGTTCAAGGAAAAGAAGACACCGCCAAACCTTCCTGCGCCCCCCATACGCAACAGTAGAAGCGATTCGTGGCGTTGAAGTCCGAAGAATGGTGCTCTGGCA